CCTCAGCAAGTGATTCAACTGATTTGGTTAAACTAGTTGTTAATCAGAAAAAAAGTCTATATTTGATTTGATAACGCTTGCTAATCGCAAACGTAATCAGAATGGGTCGAATGATATATTGTATTGAGTCCCGTTCAAATGTGATTCGAACAATCTGTCGACGAAATTTTCTCAAAACAATTTTCTGTCTAGAAAAACCAGTTTGAAAATGTTGATTTCAATTACTTTGCAAATTTGTAATAGTACATTAGTAGACTGCTTTCAGTTAGGACGTGAAAAATTTAGTTTTATTGCAGGAAAACTAGGTCTTGAAGCTTCATTTAGCGCATCTTTGGCAATATTGCCTGTTTTGTTACTCACTTTTTGAAAACAATTGTATCCCTAATTTCTTAATGTTCTAAGCTTAAGTCTAATTCTTCTCTTCACATCACTTTCTGGACTACATGCAGAGCGACTGTCTTCTTGTTTCGCATTAAGTCTGAGTAGAAAAATAAGACCAAAAACAACCACCGCGGCCAATTTCAGTTATCAATGGCATTGAAAAAAATTAACAGACTAATTATAAATCACTTACGAGGGTGTGAGGAAAAAGATGCTGCAATATTGTTCAGTCAGATTAAAAATCAAATTACGCTCATCATTATGTACTATGTGTTTGGTCAGAAAAAATATAACAACTAAACAGAGATAAATAGTTTGAACTAATGAAAGCCTTTTAGTAGTTAGTAACAAAAAAGCTAGTTTTCATATGGTTATGTTCGTCTTATTAAACTAAAGAATTAGACGGATAGGCAAAAAAAGACAAAACAAACATTAATAAGTGTACCTGGTTGCTGTGCAAACAGCACATTATTCAGACCACGAACATTTCCGCAAAATGAACTTCAATTGATTTTTTTTGGAAACACTTTTTAAGAAAAAGAGATACTTTGGATATATTTTGTAACATTTTCAACTGTTGTCTTTAGTTGCAAAATTGGGTTAAAGATAGGACCAAAACAGATAAAAAAAGGAGCAAAAACACATTATATTCTGTGAGAAAGCGAGTAAAAATCAATCAGGAATGCGCAAAATTCAGACCAATTTTCTCAATACTTAATATTATTAACCCACAAGAAAAAAATGACAAATTTGCATCAAAAGGTCTTTAAATAATTATATTTTGCTTTCGATTTCTAAGCTACTCAAAACTTAAGCATAAGTGAAGCATAGCTTCCCATTACGTGCCGCATCACAAACAAAGCATTGTGAGATAGCAGACAAAATAAAGACGGAACCCAATAAAACGACGATAAAAAAATTAAAAGAAATTGAAAAACTGTACCTACAATAGTTTCACACAGTTGTCTGGAAAGATGTTCGATTCGACATAAATTTTGATACTACAATAGTACAATTACCAGCGCCAGCGTTAAAAACCTTTCAAAAAACTTATCGAGCCGTAACTTAGCCGACATTACTGAGCTAGACGCCAGTTTCTCTTACTTTCGGGAAACACAAATGGACTATATATTATACTTTCTCAAAAGCGAAAAAAAGAAGACTAATACAACAAATATAAGCCAAAAACATTCAAGTCGAAAAAGCCTTAAACGGAAATACAATAAAAAACAATGAAAAATTACATAGAATCACGATTTTTGAACTAATCAATATTACTTATGTTTTTACTAGCAGGTAACTTGAACCTCCAGTGCATAAACTAGATTGGTGAACGTAATACTTGTTTAATTTTTAATTGAAAGAAAAAATTACGAAACTAAATGCAACTGTTAAAAAAAGACAGTGGCATCTAACAACGCGTTCTATTACATAAACTGAATACAATCAACTTTAAGGTCCATTTCTGCCTGAATGGTCATAAATCCAAAATTAATGGGCTTGAAATAATAGCATTGTTAGCTCAGAAAAAAAGCTAAAACGAGCGCCAGCATACAACTGCGCCATCATAATTCATAAATTAAAAAAAAACATCTGAAACGATTTTATTTGTAAAATCACTAACTTCATGAAAGGGATTCCTGTTTAGCCTAATTATTCATTTTCATTTGTCTGAACGCGTATCATTTACCGCAATCAATTTTTAATCCAACGCAAATTATTAACACAGAGGCGAAGCTGAGCTTCGCAAAGCTTGTGATTCAATACTCGAAAAAAAAACTGGTCGAAAAACTCTAAAAAAAAATAGAACAAATTAATCTAAAAACTAAGAAAATTAAAAAAAACTAGATCTACTTTAGAAACCTTTCGCAAATCAAATACATAGAATTACAAAAATACTATCGGAGAACTTGACAGTCGGTAAAATGTCAAAAATGTCTGCGCAGAAAACCCTTAAAGCCGAATATTTTTTAAAAAATAATTCGAAAAAAAATTCAAAACTATGAATAACTGATTTTCGTAGACATGTTGTTTACCTGGCTTAAGTTGCCAATGGACAACGCTTGCTAATCGCAACGACAAAAAAGGTCGAGTTAGTACTAGTTAAAGCCAATTAGTGCAAAAAAATCTAAACATAGCAAGCAAACAGTTGGAAAAGAGTCAATAAACGCAAGTAAACAGAAAAAAGATAAGACTTGTTTTTTGACTTTCGAATTTCACAGAAAAAAATAGCTGCCCTTAAAGCTTTTATGATCGGTCTTTTTTTGATAAACTGAACGCAATTTGAGAAAACTGGATCAAAAAGTAAAATTTTTATTTCACTGGGAAAATTAAATTCCACCAGCGAAACTAGAAGTCAATCACGTTTTTCGTGACCTTTACACTTTTGCTGATCGTTTGCCTTCCTTTTAACAAAGGAAATAAAAAACCAAAAAAAATCATCGCGACCTTTAAATGAGACTGAACTACGTTCACCGACTCATAATAAATGCACATACCTTTGAGTTTGAAACAATAACTGCTCTCTGATTTGATAACATCTCTCAATGAATCATTTCTTTAGTTAGGTTGTTTCTTTGTATTTATACTCTCGCTCAGGGGGGTTTTCATCTGACCATTGATTTCGTTCTTCAGTAAATTGATGGATTACTTAATTGCCAATGCAGTTGTGTAGCTGTCACTCCCTTTATACAAACACAATTGGAACCCTGATAGTATGTACACATTTACACCTGAAAAAAATCACAATGACAGTCTGCATTTATTGGTGACATCAGGGGCGGATCTAGAATTTTCTCGAGGGCGTGGATTTTCAAACCTTTTCGAAAATTTTGACCAAAAGGGCACGATTTTGACCAAACTATTGCGCTTTTTTTCGGCGCGCGTTCCCCTTCAGAAGTTTTACAAGAAATTTTGAGGGAATTCCAAAACAATTTTACACATAACCGATTTTCTGGTATTTTGCATTCCATCCGTCAATTGCGCTCACCGAATCAATTTTTTGAATTGCCGAACAAAATACAACGAATAAGCCGCAGAAAAAAATACAACAATTAAGCCAAAATAAAAAAGCCGAAGCGATTTAAGATAGCTGATAAAAGAACTGAGATTTCAAGAACTAATTATACAAAATCAGAGGTCAAAAATATGAAAAATGGAACAGGGGAAAATCAAATATATATATCAATTGTCTTTTAAACTGAAAGAAAAGTCGGAAAAACGAAACACAAAGAGTAGACAAACGATGGTACGACTGAATTTTTCCAAGAAACATTTCTAAATTTGAAAAACTTCAGTCTGGCCAGAACCAAAAAAAAAAGAACTTTTGACGTCCAAAACAAGGAGGGTATACCTTCACACTAAACAGACAAAATTAGAATCCAGGAATTGATGTACAAGTAAGGCTTGGATCAAATGATTCAGTGATAGACAAGTTGTTTACTCGAAAAACAATCTTAAGCATCGATTTGATAACACTTGCTAAGCGAAATCACAAGAAAATTGAAATGAGTAAATAGATTTATAATGAAACATATTTGTCACAGAGGCGAAGCTGAGCTTCGCACCACTTGTGATATAACACAAGAAATTCGAAAAAAAACGATACAACTTAAGAAAATCGAAAATTTCGAAACAACTAATCTATCATAATGAATGAGGCTAGTTTTGAAACAAAAACATGCCGAGACAACAGAATGCGAAATTAGAATTGGAAGATAGTTTGCATGGCGGTAACAGAACCTTGGCAGAAACCTTTTAAGCCGAAAAAAAATATCGATCAGATTTAAGACTTATGAAAAGTCCCCCACGCCCTCAAAACAATCAAAAAAAATATTGGGAACAAAAACAAAACAGGCAATAAAAAAGATTATTGTCATGAAAAATTTGAATTAAGTTTCTCTTAAGATGTTTAGCATTCTTTTGCAAACCAGAGGTAGGCATAAAAAATGTTTCTATTAAAACGACTCAAAATTAAGTTACTAAGCCGATAACATGTAGGCCGAAATCATTTGGGCAGAATGAAATGTTTAATCGAAAAAAGAAACAAAAAATAAATACGATGTCAAGGTGAAAAAAATGACAAATGAACAGCACAGGGAAACCAGAACACTAAAAGCAACTATATTGTTGAAAAACTTAAAAGTCAAATCAGCGATTAAGTTGGATGGTAAAAATAAAGCGGAAATTAAGCCGACAAAAAGTAGATCGCAAGCGACCAAGTCGAAAATTAAAAAATATATATTATTACAAAATTTGAACTTCAAATTTAATGAAAAACACTAAAAAGGATGCAAAGTGAGAGTAATAGACCAATGAGGGCAAATATAGTTACATACTGTATGCAAGCTGAAATCTGTACACAATGTTGTTTACGGGAAAAAAGTCTAGTACCTGATAGTAAAACCCTTGCTATCGCAAGGGTAATAACTCTGCTTCTAATGATGTCTACAATTCCGAAGATCTAAGATCTTTATTCATTCATATTTGTTTTTTTATACATCATAAAAAACCAACTGAATTTTAAAAAATGAACCACTCGGTATACTAATTTTAGAAAAAAATTCAGAAAAAGAGCCTTCGCGCACAATTAAGAGCAGCCTACAAAGACAAATTGACAAAAAAACTACTTACGTCCTGTTAGATGTTTTTTCTTTGCCAACAGTTAATGGGAAAAAATGTCATTTTATAAAAGATAGGAGAGGGGTCTGACTAAAGCTGGAGATACCTGTTTTATACATATTTTTTTGAAATAAAACGAGAACAAATTTTAATTTTTTTCTCACAAAATCCACACAAAGTAAGTGTCTTTACGCAGTTCATTAAGAAAATTTAAGACCGAGCATGTATATTTTTTGGAACAAGAATTTACCTTTTAGAAAACCGAGCCAACAGTCAGTTGGGAAAACGACGAAAATCGGTGAAAACTCTTTGAAATCCAAAAAAAACTTACTTCAAAATCCATTTTCAAACAGAAAAACATAGCGAACTGACAGTTGGAAAAAAAAATGAACGCAAGAAAACAAACTTGAACTTTAAAGAAAAAATATATTTCCTTTGAGCTATTCGAGTTTCAAGAACGAATTATATCTAGTGATTTTTTGATCATTATTCATTGAAACTTTTCATTGACACTTAAGATGTGGATCTATAGACAAATCTTTTGAAATACATTCCTGATAAATAGTTTGGTCCTAATGAAGAAATTGAAACCTAGTTTCACAATTGCACTTTATTTCTATAACAATTGGAAACAATGAGCATCAGTTCAGAATACTTCTTTTTGCAGGACTAACAGGTTTCTACAGAGGCAAAGCTGAGCTTCGCACCATTTGCGATTACCAAAATAAATGTCTATGATTAAAATCAAACGGATAAAAATGAAAAAAAAAACTTCATGAACCGTTTCTGTCATTAAAAATTGCAACATAAGCCAAAACGATCCAAAAAAAACCTGTACCATTGAAATTATACAAGGAGCTTTTGGAATGATCGAAAGCAGCCAAAGATTCGAAAAAATTCTTTCAGCGAAATTAAGCCGACAAAATAAGCCGACAGACAATAATTTAAATTAGCCGAAATTTTGCAAAAAAAATCTGATTTGGAATCGATCTCCCGGGCATAGTGATCTCAAGCATGAGTGTTACAGCAAATTGGAAAAAAGCTAAAAGTTCAAAAAAGGCAACGGGGACGACCCCCTGCCGACAAAAAAATACAGACGGACGATAGTCAGAAAAAGTACATACTCTAGTTAACAAAAAACAGGTCAAGCAGTTGTGTTGCCTCTACGCCGGATGGTTGACTGAAGTTGAATTTATAACTACCAGGCGGTAACAAATCCGAAAATACCTAAGCAGAATATATATACACACACACACACACATACACAAAATTCTGTTCTCAAACGATGCAAAAGGAGGCAAAAAACCGAAACCGATTAATCCGAACAAAAAAAAAAGAAATTAAAAAAATGTAACAAACCAATTTCAATTTGACACGATATTTAAAATGCTTAAAGACTAAGAACAACTACCATGAAAATTGTTCACAGCCAAAATAAACAATTCATAGATTCGAACACAGAACCTTTGCCGTCCCTGGCGTATTCTTTAATTCTAGGCTAAGTGTGCAAGCGACACTAAGAAACTTGAATTCATTAAGATAAAGGTACCAATAGGAGTCCAGAAGAATCATGTGAACTAAGTTACTTCTGGAATAAAAGTCTAGTACCCGAGTGCAATACCCTTGTTTATCGAAAGGGTTATTAAAATGAATTTTAGTCGCATCGATTTCAATTTTCGAGACCACAAATTTTCAAAGACAAAATCGCATTTCGGAAGCACAAGCAAAAAAGGTTAAAAAAATCGGAGCTTCAAAATTGCAAAACGCAGCAAACAGACAGTTGGAAAAGAGTCAATGAACGCAGCAAACAGAAAAAAATGTAACGTCGTTTTTTTTTTTGAAAAATCTCAACTTTAGAGCTTCGAAGAAAAAAGTCAAACTAAGAGCCCTTTGCATTTCGACAATTTATGATTAATATTTTGTCCATGAAATAAACCCAAATTGACTAAATTGGATCAATAGCCAAATTTTTGATTTCGCGAAAAAAGACACTTTTTCGAAAAGAGAAGGCGCAAAAAACCTGACTTGCTTTGTGGAAACACTTCAACTTACAATTTCAAAGTAAAAAATGTATGGCTTTACAGCTCTTTCAATTTCATGTACAACTTAGGACTGACACTTTTTGATAAAACTAACTCTATTTTGAAATCAGTTAACTGGATCGATCTGTAACCATTTTTTGCGCAGAGAAATCTGAAATGAAATCCCTTTTCTAAACTAGAAGTCGATCAAATTTTTCGTGACCTTTACATTTTCGTAATTGTAAAGCGCAACTTACGTAACTTTTAGCAGATGAAATTGAATAGAACTCAAATAGTGCATATATACCAGAGACATTCATAAAGGCATTATTATCTACACAGAGGGAAATCTGAGCTTCGCACCATATGCGACATAACTAATCTATCATAATGAATAAAAATAGCTGTGAAAAAACATGCCCAAACAATAGAATGCAAAATCTGCATTGAAACAAAATTAACCAACCGAGGACAAAGCCGAAAATATCTGAGCAGAAACTTTTCAGAAACTCAACACGTTGGATGCTTCACGTGTTACTTCAATTTTATCGTTTCCTGACTTCGGTCCAGCAGTAAAAAAAAAACATTTAAATGAGTGCATGCTTAGTACCTTCCAAACATCTTTCCTCAGGTGTCGTACATCACACATCACCTAATAGTAAATGCCAGAAGCTCTAATAGTGCAAAAATAAGCAAAAAAAAACTACATTTGGTTTGAAAACCAAAACAAAAAACTCGTAATATAACACAAGCAATCGCGTAGAAGTAAAACATTTGAGATCGGAACATTTATTGGCCCGAAATCAATTAATCCATTTGCAAAAGCAAATGAAGAACACATTACGCATTCTTTTACTGCATCAAATGAGGAGACGCTGTATTGATGATAAAAACAACAGTTATGTTATGTAGCATAATAATGTAAATTAAATACAATTCAAAAACTGCATCAAGTACACAGAACACAGGAAGTGAATCTCCCTATTTCAAATGTTCCCTAATTTTTGTTATCAGCTCAATGATGACATTCAATTTAAAAATATTAAACACAGGAACAACAAACAGCAAGCAATTGCATTAAATATAAATACCAGATAAGCCTTAATTAATTTTTAGTTCCCAGCAGGCAACAATCAGGTTGCGGGCCATTTGCTCGCACGAACACGAATGTAGTTGTTGTGCAGTCGCTTTTGCCCCTTTTTTTCTCAAACCATCTCAAGACGGTGGATGTTTCACGTGTTCCTTCCTTCAATTCTATCGTTTCCTGACTTCGGTCCAGCCGTCATCCGATGCGGGAGGGCGCTGCAAAAAGCACAACAGTAAAAGCTCCAACTCAAAAATTAAAAGTTGGAGAACAAACGATTTAGAATCACATATATTCAAACTCACATCCTTCTTCTCCTCTCTGGGCCTGAATGGACGAATGGGAGCAGTAGTTCCCGAGTCCACTACCCCTCCTCCTCCTCCTCGCATTGACCCCTCCTGACCCCTGAAGTTGCCACCTCTCTCTATGCCCCCTCTGTCTCTCTCATCTCTCCCTCTGCCAGGCCCCCCTCCTCCCCCTCTTTCATCTCTGTCTCTGTCTCCTCCTCGGTAGCTGTCCATATCTCTCCCGCCCCCAAATCCTCCCAAGTCCCGGTCTCGGTCTCTTTCGCGCTCATATGAGTCACGAGGGGGCGGGGCACCACGTCTGAAAAACACACATTTCAAGAGGAGAAGTTTTCCCAATATATTCATAGAGCCGAAGCTGCGCTTTGCAAACATAAGCCAGAAAACCACAAAAAAGCAGCTAAAATTTTTGCAACGCAGCAGATTCGAACCTACGATCTCGACGTCCTACCCTCTCAAACACGGACGCTCTACGATCGACAAACACTAGCCACCAATAAAGCATAAAACATAGCCAATCGAAGATTGAAAAAGAATAATGAACTCGGGTAAACATAAAAAAACACTGACTCTGTTTTTAAAAAATGTCACCTTTCGAATTTCAAAGAAAAAAATAGATGCCCTTTAAGCTCATTGAATTACAGGACGACTTATGATTGGCGCTTTTTTGATAACATAAACCAATTTTGAGACAACTGGATCAACAGGTAAAGTTATTAATCCGCTTGAAATCTAAAAACTAAATTCCACTTTCGAAACTAGAAATCGTTCACAAACTTTCGCGCCATTTTCCCGTTCGTATTTGGAGCGGGCTATTTACGTCACTTTCAGCAGATAAATTTCAATTGAACTCAAAAAGTCCATTGTACCTAAGTTGAATCAATATTCTAAGACTTTTTCCTGAAAAAAAAACAACAACAAAAATCAGCAAGACCTATGCAAGAGTCTTCACTACGTTCATTACTCTTAAACAGATGCTGTGAAACTTCCTTGATATAGAGCGTGATTATAACAGAAAGGCCACCAAATGAGCACTTTTATTTGCGAGTTAGGCTGGGAACAAAACTACAGCCATACTAAAACCCTACGCTCGCTAGTGTCAACACTAGAAACATCCGTTCACTGATACTTAAAATGAATCTGCTTTCCAAACTAAAGTAAGTCGCAACAAGTGAAGATTTAAGTGGCACCTGAAATCATCTGGAGCGGGTCTGAATCTGTCCTCTCTGCCCATTCCCCCGCCACCTCCCCGCATACTGTCCCTCTCTCTGTCTCTGTCTCCCCCAAAGTCGCGTCCCCCATCCCCCCTGGTGCGAAGTGGGGCTGGCCTGTACGCCTCATCTCTATCTCTATCTCTTTCTCTATCGCCCCTAGGTGGTCCGCCACGCTCAAATTCCTCATCACGTGCTCTTCGGAAATCTGCAATAAAGAAACACTCAAACGACCACTCAATTGAAACAAACAGTACAGTCAGATTCACAAAAGCAGTATAATGTCTGTTTAGCCTCTGTGAAGAATCTCAACAAAAAAATCTAACTGTCTTCAGCTCCGCCGCCACCTCGTCTGAACTCATCGTCGCCCCCTCTCCGTCTAAACAGATCCCTATCTCTGTCCTCCGAGTCCCTTCCCCCTCCTCCTCCTCTTCTGATGTCCTCCGAGGGGGGTGGGCCTCCCCTTCTCATCGAGTCCCCTCCGTCTCTGCCTCCCACCGGGGGTCTGTATCTGTCGGACGAAGCCGGGGGTTGATATGCCCCTGAGCCTCGAATTGGAGGAGATCGCATTCGATCCCCACGATACCTGTCATCCACTGAAAAAATAGGCATTGACGTCGAAACATGCTTTAAATTGCGCAAAGACAACAAAAAGTCAAAGCAAAGTGGAGCTTTGCATCACTTGCAGTAAAGAATGCAAGATAGCAAGTTGAGGTTCTTTTTCAATCTTGATTTTGACAGAAAGAAAACTAGCACAGAGACTGAGCTTTACACTTTAGGATTTAAGCCAAACAGGATTAAATATCAACTTTAAAATGCAACAAAAAAACTTCGCTCGATTGCTTTCGCCTGTGAACCAACTTTGTACAACTGGGAATTGCATTGGAAAGGAGCTGCCTCATATTTTAACATTATCCCCGTTAATGTAGTGACAGTGCATCATCGTAAAACTAACTTTGATCGCCTTTAAACAATCATAGGTACTCGTTTAGATGTATGGTACCACCGTTTTTGATGAGTCAAATTCAAAAGCTCGTTTAAGAAATGTGGTCCTGCCAGACCACTTGGAATATACTTTAAGTACTTCAAGTGGATGAAAGCAAAAAGAAAGTTTGTAAATAACTCTTCGTCAGGTTTGCCACCAACGTTTTCTTAAAAATGATATAATCATAAATATCAATTCAATGGCGAAACTTAAAAACTACCTTTTGTCTGACTTTTATATGGGACCATTGGTAATTTCACAAAGCCATATATATGAACGAGCGTTTAATGGGACCATACTTCGAACCGAATACCCAGATATATAAACAGATTTTGCTCCGCGTTTAACGTCTTACCGAAGAAGAACAAAACACTAAAACCGTGCTTCGCTTTTTAAGAATTTTGCCAAAACCTTCACATAAAGTCATCAGATAACACATTAATGATTGATAAAGGCTCAATTGACAAACTCAAAAAATGCGGGTAAATTAAGAGTGAAAAACGATACAAATCAAATTTTAACAAAGATAGCCGGTTACTGCGCAAGTAGCACAGAATGTTCCGACCATTGTCTTAAAAAATACAGAAAAATGTTTTTTTTTTTCAAATTAGTGTCGTTTTTTCTTTGTGGTTTGATAAAAAAATCGGAATGAAAAAACTAAACTTAGGCATATTCGACAGTCATAACAAATTAGGCCAATTGGAAAACAGTTTTTGTAGAAAAATGACTAGAAAAAGAAACAATCGTTAAAAAAATTAAGTTTTTGAATTTTGAAATTTTTGATTCCCAAATTATCGCTAAAACTCCAAAATCTAAATTAATTGAGTAAAATTAAGTTTTCATGGCTTAAATTAAGAATAAATAAGCTTTTGTAAGCCTGCTTCGCCTCACCTTATTACCTTGAAATTAGACAAAAGAATCAAACTGGCTTTTCTCGACACTAAGAAAATCATGACTGAAGGAACTTCAAAATGATATATCACTCGGACCATTCCGATGATTATTTAAGGTACCTGATTTTGCGTGGAAAACAAAAAACTAAAACACAACTGCCCGAAAACAGAGTAGGTTCCGCCACGGTTTTCAAATGGTCTTAACAATAAACTTTGAAATCAAATGAAAACCAACGACTTGGTTAAATTTAAGCTCAGGCTCATTTCGTAGCTTTCTTGTAACTGAGATGACAACGAAAAGACCATACAGAACGTTAAAAAGATCCTGAGATCGTATATCACAATTTTTGTTTTTCCAGAAAGCTTCAAGAAACTATTACCTGCGCCATTACATAGATATTTTAAAATAATTTTAGTTTTAAAAAAATGCCAGAAACAGGAAAATCCATGCTGTTGCGACTAGGCCAGCAATAAACAGAAGAAAAAACACCGGCCGACTTTTTTTATTTCAAAATAAAAACTTAGTTTGCTAAAATTACAGGTCGTAGCCGGATTCGAATTACGGACCTTCGTCGAGTCAGTCATGGAGGTTGCCACTGATGGACGTTAACTCCAGGTCCAAAGTGCAAAAGCTCACAATGAATTTGAATTTATTATAAATAAATCAATCCATCAAATGATTGAGTGATTCTGCTAGACAAGATGTTAACATGAATAAATAAATGTCATTTGCTGATCACCAGCGTAAAAAATCGATGAAATGAATGATACACGAAAAATATATTTTAGTCTAAAATTCTAAAAATACTTTTGGAATCCAAATCTCCAGTAAAATTATCAGCAGTGATATGTTGATAACAAGCTTTCCTTGAGGTATCTAGGACTTAGGTCCTTCCCGTCGCTTCGAGACGTGATCGCAACAAAAATAATATAGACAAACTTAATAGAAAACCCGGACGAAACCAATGAAAACAAATTAAATCAAATCGAGAGTCAATGCAGTCAAAAGCATTGTTATTCTGCCCGTATGACAATTAACAAACCATACAAAAAAAACTTTGGATCAAAAAAGTTACCAGCCACTTGATATTTCACAACTCACTGGCTGTTCTTGCATTCGATAAAAAAAATGACCGATTGATGACAAACTTTGCTCTCAATGCCCACTGCTACTCACTTCTGTCTCCGCCCGCCGGTCGCTCTGAGCCTCTCATGCTTCCTCCCCCCACAGACCCACGCATCATCTCGTCCTAAATCAACCACATGTCAACCACAAACACTATAGAGCTAGACCAAACAAATAACCATCCCTCGTTATTCATAGATCAGTAAGACATAATAAACATCGAGATGATATCACCAGAAGCGCTTTACCTTCTCTTGGGCATGACGTCGCTCCTCCATCAAACCTAAACAAAAAACACGGATATACTACGGTTGCTGTGCCGAACACAAAAAATCAAATTAGGAAATTCAACACATAGCCAACTGACAGTTGGAAAAGAGAAATGAACGCAAAGAAACAGATAAAACACTAACTTGTTCTTTGAAAAAATCTCAACCTTCGACTTTGGAAGAAAAAAACAGATGACCGTAAACCTCTTTGAATTTTTAGAACAATTGGTAATTGACAATTTTTTCATGAAATTAACCCAATTTGAGAAAACTGGATCAGAACGTAAAGATGTTATTTCGCTGGGAAATCTGATCATTAAATTCCATTTTCGAATTTAGAAATCGATCACGTTTTTCGTGACCTTTGCAATTATGCTGTTTGATAGTGGAGTTTTCTTTCCTTTTAACAATGGAAATGAACTGAACCTACAAAGAAAATAAAAGTCAAAACAAAAAAATTGAGACTGAACAATTTTTATAACCTTTTCGTGAAAAAAAAAACAAAAACAACTATATAAGAGTTTTCATTAGGTACATTACTTTTACAGAAAAAGAAAAAAACTTGTTTAAAGAGAAGAATTGAATCAAGTAGCACTCGACAAATTCTGATTTTTACAAACTAAAAGCAGAAAGCGTCAGCGCAGAAGGGAAACAACTTCGAAATTAGAATGAATTGATATTTCCTATAAACAATTAGGTGCATCCAGGCTCATTTTCAAAAAAATTGCTTGACCGAAAAGACGACACCAATACGGTAACATCTAATTTTTTTCAGTTTATTATCGACTTCAGCCCGTAATTATTGTTGAACAGTTCATGGTGAAACTAACACCAGAAACTACATCCAATATCATAATCAAAACAATAAGCAGAAATTAATGTGACATCAAACTTAAAATTAATTGGAGTTTGTTTTCACTATCGATCAATGCAAATCACAGTCATCATTGCACACTTTAACAGATACATTAACAGAATCACAAAGAAATTAGAGTTAAAATTTATTTCAAATCTTAAGAACTCAGAATCTTACTTATCAGAAACTCTTTGATACTCTTTGAATCAAATCTGATTTTTTTTCAGAGAGTCAAAAAAAGAATCCACAATCATCGCTGCATCTCTCGCAAGAAAACAAAGACCACAACTGCATCCAAATACGAATAATTTTATATTTTATGATCAATGAGAAGAATCCAGGATCACAGAGTATCAACAAGAGACAAATATTCACATTTTGATATTTGAAAAGCAAATCGCCGTCATATTTGCACAATTTGATAGAAAAAAATGACATAAAAACAGAAATCAAAAGCTATTTTTTTGCATTTAATTATATCATTAAAGGAATCAATAATCACCATCGAACTAAAAGAAAATATACCATATATGCAGATAATCGAAATCACCTTGCCTGTCGAAACATTTTTTTGCTTCCTAGCGTCAAACCAACCGAAACCATACTGGAAAGGTATTTCATTTGACCAACAGACGGAAACCAGAGATGACTTATCAGACAATTCAAACACAGCCAACATACAGTTGGAAAAGAGTCAATGAACGCAAGTAAACAGAAAAAAGAAGCTGACTTGTTTTTTGACTTTCAAATTTCAGAGAAAAAAAAAACAGATGCCCTAAAAGCTTTTTGAATTTCAAGAAAAACATATGCTCGGTCTTGGAAAAAAATAGATGCACTTAAAACTTTTTCAAATTCAAGAAAAATTATTATCGTTCTTTTTTTGATAAACTTAACCCAATTTGAGAAAGCTGGATCAACAGTAAAATTTATTTCACTGAGAAAATTAAATTCCATCATAGAAACGAAGTGAATCACGTTTTTCGTGGCCTTTACATTTTTGCTGATCGATAGTGGAGTTTGTCTTCTATTTACCAAAGGAAAAGAAAAAAAACAAAAAAAAAAAATTATCGCAAACTAAATAAGAGACTGAACTACGTTCACCGACTCTTAATAAAGCACATACCGTTGAGTTCGGATTTTTTCCGAGAAAAGTAGACTGCCTTAGGCTTTGTGAATTTCTGGAACAAGCTGTGATTAACACTTTGATTAATTATTCCAATTTGAGACACAGAGGCGAAGCTGAGCTTCGCACCACCAGCGATACAACAAGTATAAGATTAAACAACAAGACACTGAAGAAGTCGCATTGAAGACTTCGAGCGAAGAAAAAATTGAAACAGAGCTGGAAAAAAACCAACATTTCAAATGAAAAAAAAAAAGAAATTATTTGTGGGAAAAGTTCCAGTAATTAAATTCCACTTTCGAAAATGGTCAAGTCGATCAAGTTTTTCGTGGCCTTTGTTCGTTTGCTGCTCGATAAAGTCGTTTGCCTTCCTTTGAACAAAGGAAAAGAAGTCAACTTGTCAAACCCCGAAAAAAAATTGAGCCTGAACAAATTTTAAAGACTTTTCCTAAAAAAAACGAAAAAAATTGTCACAACCTATATAAGAGTCTGAACTACGATCATCGACTCTTAGTCATAATTTAACAAAAAAATTATCCGATTACCAGAATTTTTTTTCAAGCAGATTATTAACAATAATTCTCATTCCAAGCACAACTGAGAAGAGAGCCAACTCCACGAACTTCATCACGATGATTTGTGTTTCGTATGATCAAATATGTGAAAGCATGGTCATAGAAAATAATGGCCCAAACAAAAGATCAGCAAATCGACTTCCCATATTATTTTTTCCGGATTACCAAGAAGTCCACAACCATCGCTGCACAGCTGAGAAAAATAAAAGATAAATCGTCACAAACTCGAAGACCAATTATTATATTTTAAAAAAACATCGCTGCATCGCTGCAAAAACAAAAGATAAATCGTCATAAAATGGAAGACCAATTATTATATAAAAAAAGACCAGATTTTTAATGAGCATTAAAAAACTGCGCTTCATCGTCAAAAAATCACTAAACCAATACGACGAAATCAATTCCAACAACGTCTACTTTTTGTTTTTCTGAACAAGTGGAGTCATTGATCATCATCGATTATCATTTAAAAAGATCATAAGAAAACCAAGACAACATACTGTAGTAAAATCAGAGTTGACTTGTATTTCATAAGATCAATAACGGGAATCCAGGATCATCAACTAGAAAAAACAAAAGAAAGAAAGGTCAACTCAAAATATCGTTTTTTCTTTTATGGTAAAATGTATCTCAATCCGTATTACATAATTCGGAAGAAAAACTCATTGCAAAAAAAAAATCAAAGAAGTCTAATACTTTCTTAAACTTCTGACGGATACCGTGGTCAACAAGAAAAAATATATCTACCATAATTACAACTTGCAATCAAATCTAATCTTCAGTATCAACTCGGTTCAAACCGGTGATCGCGAAAAAGAAAAAACATCTTGCCTGAAAATTTAGAAAAATCAGAAAGAATTGGTATTTCATTATTCACAAAGGGGAATCTGGTATCATCGTTTAAATAACAACGACTAATCTGACTTTGAGAAACTGAGCAAAAAGAAGCAATGTACAATCTTGCACCGATGCCATTCTACTGTCTTTTAGGTCACATTAAATTTCTCTGCCCATTTCGATGTAGTTCCTTGCTTTGATTCTTACAAAATTGTACATTGCTTCTTTTTGCTCAGTTTCTCAAAGTCAGATACTGTACTAAAATCAGAGTGGATTTATATTTCATAAGATCAATAAGGGGAATCCAGGATCATCATCTAGAACAAACAAAGGATAAAAACGTCATCAACTTCAAATTGAATTATTTTTTACTGAAAATGTGCATATGAACCCTTGATACAAAATTCGAAAGAAAAATTCATTGCAAGTAAAAGCAAAAAACCAAAGATGACCTTCACTTTATTAATTTCCTTACAAATACCGGAGTCAACAAAGGAAAAATATATATATACCATAATCACAACTAGCAATCAAAACAATTCTTCGGTATCAACTCCGGCAAAACCCGGGATTTCAAAAATGGTAGAAATAACTTATCAGAAAACTGAGCTCATTCGAAATGGATTTTTATTTCATTAAACAAAAGGGAATCTGGTATCATCATTTAAACAAGCATGGCTAATCTGACTTTGAGATTGAGCCAAAAAAAAAACACCCATCACAAAAGAATCAGCGCATTAAATGAACTACACCGAAATGGGCACTGCTTTCTCCTATGAACTGAAAAGATAACTCGAGTGCCATCATTGCAAAAATTGCGAAAGTATGAATAAGGAATCAATTCCAAAAAAGAATCTGATTTATTCATTTTATGAACCAGTGCATACTGCAATCATCATTTAAAACTTCATGCAAAATCCAAGAACACGCAATCAACTAGACTCAAGGCCAATTATTATATGATAATGTGACCAGCTTTCTATGAAAATTATAATGGGGCTTCATCGTCATATAAAAAGCTAAACCAAGAACACGAAATAAGTTTGAAAAACCTTGGCCTTTTTTGTATTTCTGAACAAGTGGAGTCCCTGATCATCCATAAAAAGAATATGAGAAAACCACGACGACAGCGTACTAAAATCAGAGTGGATTTATATTTCATCAAATCAATAAGGGGAATCCAGGATCATCATCTAGAAAAAAAACAAAAGATATAAATGTCATCAACAGAGATAAATTGTTTTTAAATGGCAATGCGCATCTCAATTCTTCACGCATAATTCGAAAGAAAAACTCATTGCAAGTAAAAGCAAAATCAAACGAAGACCTTCATTTTCTAAAATGCCTTACAAATACCGGAGTCAATAAAGGAAAAATAAATAAATCTACCATGATCACAAACAGCAATCAAAACATCTCTTCGGTATCAACTCCGGCCAAACCCGGGATTTTAGAAATTGTTTAAGTAACTTAACAGAAAAATGAGTTCATTCAAAATGGATTAATATTTCATTATTCAACTAAAGAGAATCTGTTATCATGATAAAAACAAGCAAGACTAATCTGAATTTGAGATTATGAGCCAAAAAAGTATCACCCATCAAAAAGATACAGGGAGTTAGA